CAGTGTCTGTGGGTGGTTGTCGCCCACTGGTCGGCACTCGCCACCCCTCCCCCCCACCGACAGTGCCATGGCTGCCTGCGGCAGCTCCACACTTACCGCTGCCACACTCCCACCGCTGACAGTGCCGCCTGCCGGAGCTCACCATGCCCCCCCAGCCACCAGGGGCATGTGGCATTCATGTCTCTAACATTGCATTTACTGCTGCATGGATGCTTGGGGTATCAGTAAATGGGATGAATGTCACATCTGCACAAAACAATGCAGGTTTTTTGGCTTTGAAATAAAAAAACGAAAACAAAAGGCCGAGAATTGGGTGGTCCAACATATCAGGGGATTCATCAAAAATCAAACTAGACACCACATTTTCATTAATTCTTTCAATCGCTTTAGATACTAGAGCTTTGTCATTTTCTCTGAGATACTTATGAGTGAGGTTGTCTGCATTAGGAAGAGTTTTTGCTGCTGGACAGTATTGCCGCACAAAGTCACCAGTTGGTTTCTCCACAAGAAACTTGTTGCCCAGCAAAACAAACAGTACGCACAAATTCATCCACAAAAATGGACTGGAGAATTAATTGAGGAATAAATTGACTAATTAACCAATCACTCCACAGAACCACAGGTGTTATAGTTCATGAATAAGATGGTTTATTTAGAATAACCTTACACAAATATCACAGATGTTAAAACACTTCTGAGCACCACTAACACCAGTGGAATGGGGAGTTATATTTCAACAGCCAATAGAATGGAGCCCAAAAGGCTATAAAGGAACAAAACCTCTGGTGTAGATCCAACATGAGGAACAACTAAAAACCTCACAGAACTGTGAAAGGAAGAGACAGGATTGGGTAATACTCACAGTAATAGCACAGGGAGGCTGCTACACCTGTGCACTGCATACCCAGTGGGGAATACTGGGGAGCCGACCTTGTCCTGTCCTGAGAGTAGTCCTGTGGTGGAGGACATATCCTCAGGCCATGGCAACTGGGCTGAAACTCCATGCTCCTGGCACTCGGTTCGACCGAGGACCAAACACTCACAGATACTTGCTCCTGCTTTCTTTCTCAGCTCACAACAGTTAACTGACTAAAACCACCCAGGAACCTTCACCCTCTCATTGGACATCACACGTACCACCCAAACCTCAGAACATATCACACACACACACACACAAGACACACTAGACACTAAACCCCCCCCCATGAGCTGTCAATCACCGCCTTTTTATAGTCCTGGTGCTCATGGCCCCATTCAAGTATAGCACAGGGC